GTCAATCGCAAATTGCAGAATGAACAGCGCTCCAGGTTTTACCGATTCTCTTGTAAAAGCACTGCGTTTCGCCTTTGTCGTGCTCGTTTTTACACTTGTTTCTACACGACTGAACGTTTGCTTGGAAATGGGACCTTCTCCGAGTGCCACGTCATAGAAATCGAGTAAACTTGTGAATATCTCATCCCTGGTATACGAGGACGCATTATAGCCTGGCACGAGTGATATTATACGGCAGTAAATCACCGCGAGAGAGTGCGGAGGTAAAGTCCATGCAATCCGAGCACTGTGAGCTCAAAGCCTCTCGTCCCAATCGCTCCACAGGATACGATGGGTCCATAGATGGCTCCTGGACGTAGTATTCGAACGAAAGGTGCCGTGGGTCACATTCTCGATCCAGTGGAAGGACGATCGATCGTCGCTACAAGTGTAAAAGACGTACCGATGTGGTCATTTGCTTTTTTACGTTTTAAGAGCGCTTTGTATCTGTTGTCGAGGATTGCGCGCGCTGTACGACTGCAGCGGCAGCGTCGCGTGGCCTGCTCTACTCCCCAAAGTGTCTTCTATCATTGTGACAACTTTGGGCGATTCCATTTCAAACGTGATGTGGTCGACAAGTGGCGTCCGCATCGTGGAGTGGCGCCTATAAGATGGTACTACGATCTTAGTTTGGAGTGCGTCGCGCCTCCCAGATGGTGCTACGATCTTAGTTTGGCGTGCATCTTGGATCGCGTCTCGGTACCGCTGTACGCGTCGCACGTCGACGCGACCTTGCATTTCGAGCTCTGCAAAGCGCCCTCTACAAATGTGCCGAATCTTGGCGAGTTCATTTTCAAACGCAATGGTATTTAATGCGCGGCCTGGCGATACTTTGAATGCTTCGAGATGGCGCGCCACTCACTATGGACAAGACCTCGGCGGCCGCAATTCCTAACCTCCTAAGCAATATGTTGGCGTGGCGCTGCCAGCAGTCTCGGCTCTGTGCAGTGTACAAACAGGAGGACCTTATGCGTAAGGTGCTCGAGCTCGAGCCATCGGAATCAGCGCCGAGAGATGGCGCGCGCTCCGAAGATGACGCGGCACTGGCCGACGTGCGAGAGGCCGTCGAGAAATTGGCCAGGGCTCCGCCCAAGGGCTGACTCTGTGGCTCGCCACGCATGGGTAGGCTGCGTCATACCTACTGCGACGTCGCGCAAGCGCCTTGGCTTGAGGCCTGTACACGGCTTGACACCTACCACGTGCATGGGCGCTGCGATGACCGGTTCGAGAACTGCGGCAAGAACACTGGTGATTGATTGGCTCAGAAGTAAATCCTTGTCGCTCTTTAAGCCAATAATCTAGATCCCTGCCGCTCTGATTGGCTGAAACGCTTTCGCCTGGCGCTGACGAGAATGAGGGAGACCGACGAGGAAGGCTGCATTGCGACCGAGTGATACCTCGTGATGGCGTATGCATAGAGACTGTTGATAGAGTCTCCTCGAGCACAATGCAGCAGCGTCAGTGGGGCCCGACGAGCCTCGGCGTCGTCATTCTGGCGTCGCCGGTGGTTATCATTGGCGTTCGCCATTTACAACCATAAATAACCATATTTCGGTGAGCACGGGCCCGCCGCGCCAGCGGATCGACCAAAATGAGGTTTGAAAATAAAATCGCCCACACTTGCCAGAGTGATAGACCACACTTTGGGGAGTCCAAAATGCTATGTGGCGTCGCCGTGCGAGCTCTGTAGCGGGAGCAAATGACAGCGGCAAAAAATATATTATATAGTGTGTTTTTTCGCTATACCGAAATACTGTATCATGATACAAGGCCTCATCACGCAGCGGTATTGTGCACACTTTTCCTCCCTCGGCCACATGCAGCACGCTCTTGAACATGAAAAAAAAAGAGACAGCGTCCTCGGTTTTCGCGACTTCGACGCATTTTCAACTGAAATCGCATGTCGAATTTCGTGAAAACCGACGCTCGGCAGTATGACTTTGCTGTGAGTGTCCAAGCAACGACGGCGACCAACAAGCTGGTCGCACACCGGGTCGAGACCCATCACCAGCTGTGGCAGTCAGTTTACGGTCCTCGGAGCTTTAGAACCCCGCGATGTCACGTGAAGTATTTGGGCAATTCTGCCACCACCTCGAAAAAAGGAAAATGGATTTGCGCGTGATTGCGCTACGTGCAGCGTCGGAAACGACATGTACGTCATTCAAAAAGTGTGTGGAGAGGTATACACGGCCGCTCCGTGGCGCTGGCGCGTATGTGTGCTGCTACTCGTTGATGAGCTAAATGGTGCTCACACTATTTAAGACGAGGTCGTGCGTGAACCAAGTCTTGTGATTGGCAATCAAGAATTCAGCCAATAAAAGCATCCATTCCAGACCGAGCTCCAAACGAGCCGGGCTGCGGATCCGCAAGCACAAGAAGTGCTGTGGACGCGCTCGAACATCGAGAAGGTCCGGTGCAACGAACGGCTGCACGAAGAGGCAGAGTGCGCTGCCTTCCGCGAGAAGCGCAAGCGGAACCTCGACGGCCGCGTCGAGGCGCTCAAGAAGACCAAGCCGATGAGACCGCGCCGCCGCCAGTTGCCAGCATCGAAACGTACACCGACTAAGGCATCGCGCTCGGCGGCGCGCTGAGCCTGGTCCACTGCCAGACGGGCCGACGCAAGGCGCCCATGCAAGCCTGCCCTCCAGCAGAGCCAAGACGACAACGACGCCACCGAGGCGCCACGTGCAGCGAACACAAAATAAAAGAAATATTGGAGAAAGCTGGGATCGTTTTCAACGGCCCGCTACAAGTTGCTAGTGATGGACAGAGGTTCAGCGTGCTGATTTGCGGTATCCCTAAGCACGGGGTGATTTTGCAATGAATTGATTGGATTTTCGAAATCACGCTCTATGCGCGTGAATTGGCTCGCGTTGAATATCTCGATGGATTGTGTTGGAATAAAACAGCAATTGCTGGCGAGTTTCAAAACAAATACTTGCATGCCTTTGATTACCCGGGCAAGAAGATCCATGTGGCAAGCAGGACATGGACCGATATGAAATGAGTGTTTTTGCCTTCACCCTGTATCATTGTCGGTTTGCCATACATTCAACTCACTAGTCCAGCGTACACGAGCCGTGGCAGAGGTAATGTAAACTCTTTTACAGTGGCCCGCATCTTAACCCGACAAGGATCCATGACATTTTTAAATGGATTATAAGTGAGTTGTAAAGCCGAACTGCACGCCAAATAACCTATGGAATCGTAGCCAAGACGATGAGGAACGAAACTATAGTTTGATCTCTTCCGTAGCGTGTCTAGTTGTCGAGATGTTAACGCTCAAAGGCAGACCATTTACAGTGGGGAGGGCCTGAAAATGTCCACCTTCAGAGCCGGTGCACCGGGTCACACCATTGTTATCCGTACAACACCCTAATTATCCGGATGATATACCCCGGGTCACGAGGTCGTGGTGGTCGGTTTCAGCAGTCGGTTTCCAGATGACGAGACCGACCAAGCGTGCCTTGCACCTGCGCCGCGCCCGGGCGGCGTCCAAGACCAAACGACAAGCTCTTGCGCAGGGCTGTGTTGACACACCAAGTGTCGATGGGATCGTCAGTAGGCAAGAAGAAGAAGTTGAGGAGAGCGACTGTGGCTAAGACAAGGAAGACGATTGTGCAGTCAACCCGTACGCCCTTGATCCACCACATTTACACCAACCAACCCTATCCATTAGGACAACCAGCCCGATGTGTACGCCGTCGACGTCAATCTATGGGTCGAACTCGACGCGTGGGGTGATGTTGCACAGCCAATGATCGTGTCCAAGGTCACAGCGGCTTCATCCTTGGGTCTTTCGTAACGTTACCTCAAAGACATCAAAAATTTGCGAAAGGCATGGGGCAGTGGCAAGAAGACACTGCAACGTGAACGGAAGCTCAAGGAGGATAACGTTAAAGTCGTCGCCAAGTTGGGCCACAAGACGCTCTGGGACCCTGTACAACGGAAGAGCCGTACTCGTGCTGTGCTGTCAACTTGGTCGACCATACCCGACTTTGCGGCCCAGAAGTCGATGCTCGAAGAGGTGTTTCAAGGTACCGACCACGTGATGGACCTCCTCCCCAAGTTCCATCCCGAGTTCAGCCCGATTGAAAACTATTGGGGAAGCGCCAAGGCCTACTGCCGCCAACACTGCGACTACACGTTCAAGAGCCTTGGTTCCAGCGGCTCTTGCCCAAGTCCCTCTGCAGCATGCTCAACGCTTTGAGCGTCGTTGTCATCGGTACATGCAGGTGCACGAAGCCGGCCTACCACCGCATCTTGCAGAGTTCGCTGTCAAGAAGTACAAATCTCATCGCTCGATTCGT